CATGCTTCACTGTTGCCTGCAGGCACTCATTCTTGTACCGCTCTCCAGCCCTTCAGCGAACACACTGCCTCCTGCTACAGCCATTTATTTCAAATTTTGACTCATCAGCCCAGAGCACCTGCTGCCATTTTTCTGCACCCCGGTTCCTATGCTTTCGTGCATAGTTGAGTCGCTTAGCCTTGTTTCCACGTCGGAGGTATGGCTTTTTGGCCGCAATTCTTCCATGAAGACCACTTCTGGCCAGTCTTCTCTGGACAGTAGATGGGTGTAGCTGGGTCCCACTGGTTTCCGACAGTTCTGTACTGATGGCACTGCTGGACATCTTCCAATGTCAAAGGGAAGTAAGCATGATGTGTCTTTCATCTGCTGCATTAAGTTTCCTTGGCTGACCACTGCATCAACAGTCTTCGATGTTGCCCATTTCTTTGTGCTTCTTCAAAAGAGCTTGAATAACACATCTTGAAACTCCAGTCTGCTTTGAAATTTTTGCCTGGGAGAGACCTTGCTGATGCAGTAGAACTACACCTGGTTGCTGTGCTCAGTCTTGCCATGATGTGTGACATGAAACTGTCTTCCACAACCTCACCTTAGCAGAGTTTGGCTGTTCCTCATCCAGTTTTAAGCTTCCTACACAGCTGTTTCTGTTTCACTTAATGACTATGTTTCAACCTACATATGAAATTGATGATCGTTAGCGCCTGCTTGGTATAATTGGTTAATCATACACCTGACTCTAATCCTACAAGATCCCTGACTTTGTGCAAGTGTACGAAGTGTGCAAGTGTAAGAATTGATGCTGGTTTGAAGCCAAAGGGTAGTCACACCAAATATTGATTTGATTTAGATTTTTCTTCTGTTCATTCACTTTGCATTTCACTTAATGACTATGTTTCAACCTACATATGAAATTGATGATCGTTAGCGCCTGCTTGGTATAATTGGTTAATCATACACCTGACTCTAATCCTACAAGATCCCTGACTTTGTGCAAGTGTACGAAGTGTGCAAGTGTAAGAATTGATGCTGGTTTGAAGCCAAAGGGTAGTCACACCAAATATTGATTTGATTTAGATTTTTCTTCTGTTCATTCACTTTGCATTTTGTAAATTGATAAACATAAACAACTACAATATATATGTTTGAAATAATTCTTACTTTGCAGCATTTTTTCACACCTGCCTAAAACTTTTGCACAGTACTGTACTTTTAACATATAAAAAGAAAATTCAGCATATTAATACATTGTTTAAGTGCCTGTTATGGACAGTGGATCACAGTTTACTGTAAGCAGGTTTTGGGATGGGGGGTGTTTGCATGTTCTGTCATGGCATTTTATGTAAGCAGTATCGGGCCTTTTGTATAAGCTAATATTTAACAGTTTTATCTGCTATAAATTTTTGAGGACAGGTCTTTCAGTGGCTACTAGCCTTGATGACTGATTGCTGCATGTAAGTGTGGAGGTAGTCTGCCCCTACATAATAGGTGCATGGCAGCAGCAATGGGAAAGGAGGACTGTCTTCTATTTGTAGACTTCCTATATCCATCTGGTAGGCCATGTGAGATAGAAGGCTGATCAGATGGGCTTAGTCCTGATCCACCAAGCGGTTCTCATGAAATAAAATAGAATAGTGATTCAGATGCTGCATTTGTATTGAAAGCTATGATCTTGAATATATAATTAAAGCTGCTTCCTTCTATATACTTTAACTAAGTATAGTTAAATAAAAAGGGCTCAAAAGTACTGGAATTTGTGCAAAAAATTGTTTAGATTTTGAAATAGTTACTTAAAATTTGAAAAACTATTTTTGCATGTGGAGCTATGTTTAAAATTACATAAAAATTTAATTGCATTGGTTTTGAAAATAGACAGGTGTTATCCTCTTCCTCTTTGCTATTTACAGGTATACAGATGAAGAATCTAGGGTATACCTGCTTGATAGGAGTAACGCTAGAGAAAAAGATGCTCAGAAAGATAGAGGATCAGAAAAGGGGAGGACAGAGGGAGAGAGAGAGTGGGAAGACCAGGAAGCTTTGGAATATTATATGGATAAAGAGTCTGGAAAACAAAAATTTAATGATTCAGAAGGGGAAGACACAGAAGAAACTGAAGATTATAGACAGTTCAGAAAGTCTGTTCTGGCAGATCAGGGTAAGAACTTTGCTGCGTCTCACCGGAATGTTGAGGAGGAAGGCTCCAAGTACAAGTCTAAAATCTCTATGAAGGCAAATAGAGAAGGTGAAGGATTTAGAGAAGATAAGGGTTATAAACTTAAAGAGACAACTAGCTACATAGTTGAAAGACCTAGTTTAGTAAAAGATAAGTACAAGGAAGATGAGAAAATCTCTGAAAGAATGATGAAGAAAGAGATGCAATCACCTGAACAGGTAAAGTCTGAAAAGCTCAAAGAACTCTTTGATTATAGTCCTCCTCTACACAAGAATCTGGATATGAGAGAGAAAGCTATCTTCAGAGAGGAGAGCCCACTTAGGATCAAAATGATAGCCAGTGACTCCCATCGACCTGAAGTTAAACTTAAAATGGCACCTGTGCCACTTGATGATTCAAACAGGTAATTATCCAAATTTTTAATAGGTTCTCATATCCATATTGGAGCTCATTTTTCATAAACCTTATTTTCCTTGTTTTTGTTTTTATTATGCATCTTAGACCTGCTTCCTTGACTAAAGACAGGCTGCTTGCTAGTACACTTGTCCATTCAGTCAAGAAGGAGCAAGAGTTCCGATCCATCTTTGACCACATTAAGCTACCACAAGCCAGCAAAAGCACATCAGAGTCATTTATTCAGCACATTGTGTCCTTAGTTCATCATGTAAAAGGTACGTCTTGAGTTTACTGTATGAGAAAGTATCATGTGCTCATAGGAGAATAGTGGTATTAATTTCAGTCTGTTAAATTCAACTCTTTTGTGTTCGTGTTGATTTTTTTGTATGTGCTTTCCTATTATAGTTATGTATAGCATTCAAGGAAAAGGATGTAAACATTTTGTTAAGTATTAGAAAACTTTACTTGATACTTTTCTCCATAGATTCAGAAGAGCTATAGGAAATATGTGAGCAGAAGAAGATAGTGCAGAAAGCAGGGGATTTTTATAGGGTTGAAAGAAGAAAAAAGGACGGAATTTTTATAGAATGGAAAACAGAAACAAAGTTGGTATCACAGGAACAGATCTTATAGATAGGGAAATAAGGGGAAAAAAGTATAAGCTGAGAGATAAAGGTTCTACCCTGTGGTGATCCAACAGTAAAGAAGTGAATGTGTTATGAAGAATTACAAATTAGCTAAACATAAAATAAAAATAGTAGTGACATGGCCTTTGGGAGCTAACAGAAATTGTAAAAATGGTTCTCAGGGTTACCATGGGAATTGCGCACCTGCAGCATAAGCTGTTATGCTGCAGGTATGTGTATATGTGTGTGTATAGAATTGCTGCTACAGTATAACTGAGATTACTAGCTGCAGTAGAGAACAATAAACATGACGTATTGATCTTAGTGTTAAGTGTTCTACAGCATCAAATTACTTGCATTTTATTATGTCATGATATAGTTAAACTGGATAGTACTGTATGTTGATGAAGTAACTTTGCAGTGACATCAGGCAAGTCTGGATTTCTACCTAATAATCTGTATAGACTTATGCTTCAAAACAGGAAGGTTTGAGAATGCAAGACTAACAGCAACACACAAATCCAGGGGACAAACAGTATGACACTCATATTTGCAAATGCATACTAATTTGAATAGAATGCAAATAATGCCCTTTCAGTAGTGTCAAATGAGTGATGCTATTTAAAGAAAATAATCCTTCTGCTTCTCATGAAAGCTTTAGTGGAAGACATATACTTAAGAAGATAAGACGCCACTTGGGAACTCCTAAGGGTCACTGACAGAGTACTTGCTGGACTCACACACAATAAAGATAGAATGGTAATTAGGCAAGTGTAAATGCAAGGTTCTGACTAATTTCAAGTACAGCAATGGGCATCTTGTTTTTTGGATAGAAGCACTTTAGTTTTTCTTTTGCATTACAATGAACTAATCTTTGCATTTCAGTTATTTATTTATATGTGATTTGATTCAAGGAAGTATCTAAATGGTATTCACTTATATTGCCAGAAATGTACATACCTAATCCAAGAAAATATGTGCTAAAAAATGAAACTAATGCGTTTGTAATTTTCTCCTTAAAATTATTCCTTCTGTGGGAACTAAAATGCTGCAATTTTGATGATCAAGTCCAAGACTTCCCTTAAAATTTAACAGAATAAGCCAAAACCATATGTGGAGAATACAGTGTGTTTGCACATCATAGCTCTTTCCTAGACTAGTACCCTCCATTTACTTTGGCTGTTAAGTCTCACCTCTACTGGAGGATAGGCATTGGTTGAAAAAGCTGGCTTCGTGTGATGTGTAAAAACAGGAACAAACTGCTAGACTAAAACTGGAAGCCTTTAGTTTTGCTTTCATTGCTAATAGAGAAGGTAGCGGAAAGAACTGGAGAACTTGTATATAGCATACCAGACTCTAAATTAACATGACCTTACAGACAGAGTCACTAATTGCTCTGTTACATATTGGGGGATTGGAGGAACATGATTTCCAGGAGCAATTGGAAACCAATATGTATATATTTTAAATATACTGATACATATTTATATATTACATTTATATATATATGCTGATACATTTTCAATTATAGATTGCTTTATTTCCCTTAAAATAGGTAAGGAAATAAAATACACATGTAGCTTATACCACATTGGGCTGTTTGTCCACCTTTCTCAATATTAGCTCCACTTACTGCCATACTACCACCCAGAAATCTTTCATATAAATTCCTATCTGACTGGATTTTTAATTCCTAATGCCAGAGATTGAACCTGGAACTTGTGGTGATAATTGTATGCTGCCCTGCTACATTTCTTCCCCTATTCTAGCATTCCAGTTCAATAATTATTACATTTGAGTAATGCTAGAGTAGGGAAGTCATCATAGTTGAACATAAAGAACATTTCTTACATGCAGGAAGTCCAGTTTAAACAGATGCTTTATTTATTCACCTTCATATAATTGTATTTCATAATTTGAATACTCAGCTTGAAATTGGATGGTGCCATTCAGTTCTAGATAGGTAACAATATGATCAGATATTTTTATCACCCATTTTATATTGCACTTTCTGATGGTGCAGTTAATATAGTAAAAAAAATCCTGAAAATGTGAAAATGCTTATGAAGAGTGTACAGATTTACTGATGAGAATCCCAACAGTCCTGTAATGTTTTTTCCCCCCTAAAATTATAAATAAAAAGACTTTGGAAGATTTTTTTCTTTTTAAAGATATAATAATGTCATATTTTACTGTTCTGACATTAAAGCTATTAATTGTTTATTAAAAGAGCAACAGGCAACTGTTTTTTACTTATTTAAATTAAAAATGTAATAAAAATTATCTTGGCCTATTAGAAAGCTCTGTTTCTGTATGAGAAGTACATAATTTTGAATCCAGATTTTGCCACTGTTGACAGGAGCATTTCCTGTGCAGAAGCTGCATGTTCAGAAGCTGCAAAAATCTTCTCAGGACAGTTGGAGGACTTAGGATGTTTTAGAACCACAAACCAAATTTTAGAAGTCTCTCCCCTCAAATATATTTGCCTAGAAAACTGGGAAAGCTAACTGGTGTTACACTACTCTAAAAGAAGCTATATTTTCATTTTTTATTAAGAGTTGAAAGGAATTATGAGGTTATAAAATCCCTGTCAGTATGCTCGCCAAAGAGATCATTTAAATTGAATGTTTTCAGTTAGTATATAAAATATTTATACCTTGTTGTTTTAACTACTGGTCTTTGGCCAAGTTATTAATGTCTGCATCACAGTTTGCTTCCCAAGGTTATTTAAATCTTTCTACACTCTATAAAAGGAATCTGTGGCTCACATTTTGGTAAAAATGTAGTAGTAATTTTACATTATTGGTGCAATGCAGCTAAACTGAACAGCTCTTCTCTTACACAGAGCTGAAAATGCCCAGTGATGTTTTCTTTTTCATTGCAACTAGGTCCTGGAATGTGTTTTGAAATGGCAAAATCCATATTACAAAAGTAAAATAGCTGTTGAAAGATAACAGATGCACAAACAGGCAAAGTTGAACCTTCTATCTTCCTGGCAAAAATGGCACAAAAACTGAATTGCTAGCTCAAATTCCTGTGTTTGATGGAATTATGATTGAGGCACTACCCTTGTAGTGGCCATATCAAGTTTTAATGATTGGTTTTGAGAGATGTGCTGGATGTTGGGCGGTAAGTTGATACAGATGTACATTGACCTGTTAAGCAGATAGTTTGCTTTATATGTAACATTTCATAGTCCTTTTTAATTTACACATGTACTATTTTACATTTAAATACATCTGTTGAACTGGTCTTTCAGAATGTAGTGTGTGTGTTACCAATTTATTGGTCTTGGTTAAAAGACAAGAAACGTTATGCTGTCAAGTTTGCCAAAATGCCAGATGTTAAAATGTAAAGGTGCTAGATCTTGGTGTTGATTTAAAAAGAAAAAATTGTGATCTTTAAAAAAAAAATTGACTTGTGAAGCTTCATTTTATGTATGCTTTTGGGAGAATATGTCCAGCTGAGTTCAAGAGGGATTATTCTTCCAGAAGTATGCATAGGATGACAACAACATTTTAAAAATTGCAATTCCAAATGTATCAAGTAATTTAATGTATGATAATGCTCCCTTTAAAATTGTAGTATTTCTGTCATCATAAGATATTTGGCTCCTGTGGGTAAACAAGATGCTCACTATAAACTTTGTCTACTTTTTTTTTTAAATGTGAATATTCAGTTAATAATGGCATAAATAGTACAGATGTGTAAGGAAATTTTAATGTGGTTGCCACAAAGAGATGGGGAAAATGCTTATTGCTTATATTATGAAGTCCTTTGGCTCTTCTGCATTCTGGTTTGGTATGATATGTAGATATATTTCAGTTAATTAGACAGTACTTATCCTCTGAAATCTACAGAACAATATTTCAAATCATCTGGAATGACCTTAAGTGAGAGGTTCACTGCTTATCAGAAGGCTACTGAAGAACATAGCACCCGGCAAAAGAGTCCTGAAATACACAGGTATGGGATTGTGTTATTGTTTAGTGTAAATAATAGATATTCATTTATCAAATAATGCTTACATTGATAAAAAAGCACCATGTCTCTTTATTATGGAACATAAACACAACAGAAGTTCCTGAGTAAAGTTGCTGTATCTGTTGTGATACTTAAGATTTTATAATATTAACAGTTTGCTATCTGGATATAAGTACCTGTGAAATGTGTATGCATGAGTTCTATTTTTCATTCCATTTAAATGGAAACCATGTATATTGAAGGAGATAATAAATTATATCTAGGATTTAAAAAACTGTTGGTGTGCATTGTATTTTTTAATGTAAAAACTTATTTACACTTTCTAAAAATAATGCTCAGGTGTATTCCTATACAAAGAATATTGTGTACTGCATGGTTTTCAATACTGCGATTGGATTCTTGAATTGTGTGGGTTGATCATGTTGATTTGTTTATATATATGTATGGCATTTTTAGAGGGGCATGTTAACATTTTATTGGTTTAGTTTTAGTCACTTCTGTTTGTGATTTCAGTTTTCCATTTGACAATTCTGGATTATGATTGCCAGTCATAATGATTACTTTTGAAAATCTTGAATTTAGGAGGATTGACATCTCTCCAAGTACCCTGAGGAAGCATACCCGTTTATCAGGAGAAGAGAGAGCCTTTAAAGAAGAAACTCAGAAAGTAGGTTCCAAATTGATACACTTAGTAAAAGCATCCCATATAGCCCAGATTAAGCATCTGTCCTAAAGCATCTTTCATAAAATTGCATTTATAGTTTACTACCCTAAGTGATATTGAGCTTGAGCTATTTATCATTTTTTAAGGATGCAGTGGGTCAGTTTTGTGCATCTTGAATTATGAGACACAAACACAAAAGCATTATTTTAATCAGTATTCTCAGAAAATAAAGGACATTAGTTTCTAACACATTCCATGGAATAACTGAATTAAACAAGACTATCTTAATAATAACATTAATAAGAAATTATGCTGACATTTTACTCCCATGAAATATTTGGAAGGGCTTTTTATTGTTTCATTTTTTTGAAGATTTTTTTAAAATCGAATGTATTTATAGTCTTAACGTAAAGAAGTTTTATTTCTATGCAAAATTATCATGTTCTTTGTATAGAAACCTGTTAGGAGGTTTAACCTTCTAGGGAAATAGCAGGATGGAAATCTAACAAATCTGTTAAATAGTTTGTTGTTATTGTTCATTGAGTCAACCCTCATTCCTGATGGCTACATGAAAAAAGTCCCTGCAGTTTTCTTGGCAGTGCCATCTTCCTAGAGCTAAGAAAGAGTAACTGGCCCAAAGTCATTCAGCTGGATTTTGTGCCTAAAACAGGGCTAGAACTCATAGTCTCTTGACTTCTAATCCAGTGTCTTTAACCTCTATACCAAATTGGCTTCTAGGTAGAATAATTTTCCTAAAAGCAAAATTTACTGTGTTCAGTGGATTTTCAAGAAAGTGTGCATAAGACTACAAACTAAGAAATTCATCTCGTATTATATACTCCAGCATTTTTAGTTCTAAGATATTTCAATGAAATGTTTCCGACCTAGGGGGATAAAAAATTAAAGTGTGATTCTGCTGATCTTCGACATGACATCGATCGTCGTAGAAAAGAACGAAGTAAAGAACGAGGAGACTCTAAAGGTTCCAGGGAATCCAGTGGGTCAAGAAAGCAAGAGAAAATTCCAAAAGATTACAAGGATTATAAAACTTTCAAAGATGATAGGTAAAAAAGCATAACTCTTGTAATCATGTTTAACTTCTAATTAGATGTCTAATTATATAATTGTAAGCTTAATTGCTTTCAGTTTTCCCTGTACAATGGCACATCTAAATGTAAACAATTAAAATTATTTGTTTTACAGCAAAAATGTATTTGTCTTTTACACGGCTTATGGTGGATGAGGACAAAAACTTTGGAATAGCAAGCTAACACTGAAAAAAAATGACAAATTAATCTGTCCTATTATCCAGGCTACATCAGGAGGTTGGACTTCAATGCAGTACATTTCTGTAAACAGTTTGTGTAAGAACTTTGGTTCGTTATGCTTGATTCCGCACTTTTTCAACTCATAACACCCAGACTATGAGAATTTTACTGAAGTGTAGATTTAACTTGGGCAGGGGGAGGGTTGGCAAGAGGAATTTCTTTTTCTCAAGACTTGTAATAGATTTGAAATTATACAGGTTAGTCTTTTAGGAGCAACTTAATTCTGTGTACTTGCTGCAGTGATAACACTGGAAATAACTCTTTTTATGCTTTTTGAATTTGGTATTAATATTACAAAACTATGGTCAAATCAATGCCAAATGTATTTGCTATGGGAAGATTGAATATGACTATCATTTTTATGTCCTGCTCATTCATATATATTAATATTATTAAATCACTGATTTATTTGTACTTTCTATTTACTTCTCCTTCACTGATGTCCACATGGTTGTCAGTTACTGATTAGTTCTGGATCTTGTGGCTATGTAGTTAAAAGATAATATCACTTTTTAAACGTTTGGGTAAGGTATTAAAATAGATGGAACTAGACAAAGCCTTAGAAGCAATACCTTTAGTCATTTTTCCCTCCCATTTTCGTGATTGTGCAAACGCATGCATTTAAATATAACTTTTAGTGGCTAATTAGCTATTTTTGATTAACAACATTGTGCTAATGAGCCATAGCTGTTAAAATTATAGATGGAAGCTGGATGGAGTAATAATGTTCCACATTTAGCTTCAAAACAAGAACAGAGGATAACTTCTAAGAGTACAGAAAATAAGTCCGGTACATAGGATGCAACAGCAAATAGTATGGTTTCTTATTTTTCAGTAAACA